CCTGCTGCCTCAGAATGATGGTCACCCAGAAATTACAAACAAACGAGCGCTGGTGAGGGTGTGGAGAAAAGAACCCTAACACAGCATCAGTGGGCTTGTAAACTAGGGCAGGATGGAGCCCTCCATACCTGAAAGTGGGTCTACCATGGGACCAAGCCATCCCACTCCTGAGGATCCACCCAGAGGAGGTTCACATATGAAAGAGGGTTTTCTTTAAAGATGTGTTTATGACGAGAGACTGAAAGCTCTTGCATGTGCTGGTTCACTTCCCAGATGGCCACCATGGCTGGAGCTGCTTCTGCGTCTCGCAGGAGTGCAGGGGCTCAAGGCCCTGGGCCATGCTCCTCTGTTCTCCCAGGTCACAAACTGGAACCTAAGTGGGAAGTGGAGCAGCTGGGACATAAGGGGTGCTGGCACTTGATGGTGGAGGATTAGCCAGTTGAGCTGTGAGCCAGCCCCTGAAAGAATTTTTCATAACTCCACTTATAGCAGCTTAACTCAGATAAAATACAAAACTAATCCAGATGTTCATGAACTGATGACTAGATAGAGAAAATGTGGTAGGTATGCCTGATAAGTACTACTCAGCCATAAAAAAGGATGAAATTCTGTTTTTCAGAACAGACTGGATGCAATCGGAGGGAATTATGATTAGTAAAACAAGCCAGTCTCCAAAAGACCAATGTGTATTTTCTCTGATTTTGGTAGTTAATAGAATATCAAAAAGTAATGTGTATGAAAAAAAACCCTGACATCTTGAGGTTTGATTGGTTACTCCAAAAATTCTTCTTGAAAAAGGAGCATTGAAAATTAGCTTAATCACGGTTGTAGTGTTTTTCTTTCTTTTTTTCCCTCATTGTTGTCATTGGTAATCCAGTGTTTTCCTTAGATGCCTAAAATAAGGCAGCAAAGCTGGAAGTGCTGGCAGATCAGGCAGGAAGTGGTATTGGCTGTGCTGAGATGCTCATGCAATTGCTTCCATCCTGTCCTCTGTGGAATCCAGCGGTTGCTGGAGCTTCCCCAGGAGATGAGTGCTCCAGTCCTGAGAAGGGAGGACTGCACACTGTCTTTGTCCCCCTGGGCCGTGCCTATCCCAGCCCTGCACGGATGTAGAGGCCCTTCAGAGGGTCCCCTCTGGGCTCAGATCTGCTGCCGTGTCCTCCGCAGGAGGCTCCCTCACTGCCGCACCACGCCTTCCTCCTGCCGTGTTCCAAACTAAGCCAGGGCACCTGCTGCGCCATCAGGCCGTCAGGGAGCCCAGCACCCATCTGTTCTCGTGTTCCATTTTTATTACTGAGCTCTGGCCAAGGGTGGAGAAGCCTTTTTCCTGCAAGGGCTTCTGGGTGTTCATAGCATCACTCACGGACTGTACAAAATTATTTACTTGCACGCTAGCCTGCCTGAGGGCGACTGCACCCTGAGTTCCATCTGCAGATACCGTGGCAGGGCCACTGCTTTAACTGGGCGTGGGCTGGCTGCCACCCCTGCCCTTGAGAGAAAGAAGGCCTCCCTCTGTTCCCAGCCTGCCCTTTAAGCTATCTACACTGAAGGGCCCTTTGAGCTGTCTACACTGATAGGATTGGGAAGGGAATTGGATTATACACAGCCGCAGACAGACAGTGGCTTCCGTGTTGGACAGCACAGCTTCTAATGGAATGTGAATTTCCAGTCTTTGGAGTAGCTGATGGGAATCTAAGGAATTGGGACTTGGGTTTGATATTATTGTAAAACTTTATGTGCCCTAGTTTTATCAAATGAGTTTAAGTGCATCTAGGCTATGCCCTTTTAACTACGTAGTAAAGAATTACAGTAAATGCCAGTAGTTGTTTGTGCTGAACACACTATATTAATTGTTTTATCTGGGATACTGAAGCTGAAAGAGGTTTTATCACGGGAGGCAAACCACAGATGAGATGCGCATTGAAACCAGTGTAGCTGCACAGAGTTCCAGGGAGGCGACCTGGAGAACTGGGACTGTGCAGGCCTTGGTGTCTGTCACGGGCTCTCCCGAAGAGCTGTGAGCATAGGAACTTGAATGTTCCTAGAATCTTCTATCGCCAAGCTGAAATCAGATTTTTTAAAAAAGATTTTATTTGTTTTTTACTGGAAAGGAAGATTTACGGAGGAGAGACAGAAAGATTTTGTGTCTGTTGATTCACTCCCCAAGTGGCTGCAACAGCTGGAGCCAAGCCGATCCAAAGCCAGGAGCCAGGAGCTTCTGGGTTTCCCATGCGGGTGCAGGGTCCCAAGGCTTTGAGCCACAAGCAGGGGCTGGCTGGAAGGCAAAGCAGCCAGTGCATGGACTGGGCACCCGCATGGGGTCCCAGCACTTGCAAGGTGAGGACACTAACTAAGCACTAGGCTGCTGCACCAGGTCCAGATTGGGGTCCTGATTAATGTGTGTTGGGTTGGTGTTGAATCCTCCTACCCCGTGATTTCGTGGGCCTCAGCCTCAGTTTTATCTTTCTTGCCTACCTATTTTCTAAGAGCTCTGATATTTCTACAAATGTTACTGACTGCACACACGCTGTGCTTTGGCCTTGGGCTTTTTTCTAGTGCAGTTATCATTTTTGAAATGAAAATGACACGTAATTACAGTCCTCATTTTCGTAAAGGAATTTGTTCTTTCCTACCCTCGGGGCATGCAGCTTTCTCGGTCAGTTTTTAGTTTTCTCATTTGTAATAGAAATAACTGTGGAAGATGCTTTACTTCCCCTTGACTTTGAGAAATGAACGCGGAACCTAGAGACCAAGGCCGCTTCACGGCCAGATTTGCCTACCCTGCTGTTGCCCTAGACCAAGACTGACCAGGACTCCTTTCAAGTGCTCACAGGGAGGCCTCTCCCCCTGCACGCGCAGTAGGACTGCCTCTGGCCCTGGCCAGGCACAGGGTGGTCACAGTGACAGAAGCCAGGGGCCTCAGAAGGACGGGGAGCGCGGTGCTCACAGTCAGTGCCTTGGAGATTCTAGAAAGATGGCTTTTATTTGATGTGTGTCATTTCCTGTTTCCCAGTAGTGATTGGCACCAGTGACCCCGTGGTTTTTATGAAGCAATAAAAACCTGGGAGAACTTGGGTCGACTTCCCCTTTAACAGTCACAGTAGAGATGGCAGTTGTGAGAAGGCAGGAAGGAAACTTGGAAACGAGAGCTTAGACATGCAGGAGCCAGCAGTGCGTGAATTAATTGGTATGTGAAACCAGAACGCAGTGTGCCTTTAAAGCGAAGATAGACTTTTGTAGAATATAGAAAACATTAGTAACAATAAAAAAGAGCTGGCACTGATTCTGGATTTAACAAGAGTTTGTTGAATTTGCTGCACGCAAGTAGCTGACGGAAGAGGGGACTAGATGTTTGTCTGGGTGATGACTCCTAGAAATTTTGACATGATTTCTCTTTAAGCTTCCTGCCATTACAGGCCAAAGGTTATGGAAGAAGGTTTCCCAGTGTTTTGATATTTTACATTCAGTTGACTTTTTTCTCCTGTATATTTTCTGTGCTTTCCTGGTCTCCTCCAGTCTGTTTTCCGCTTGAGCCCATAGGTCCCTGCAGGGCTGCAGAGCCAGCAGTCTGTCTTCCTGGCACACCAGTGCCACCTAGCGGACAGACGGCCAGAGTCGGCACCAGAGCAGCTGCTGCCCCTTGCCGCCTGTTCTGTCTAGAGTGTTTTGAGGCCCTTGAGAGTGGTGGTTGCTTAAGTTTTGTTTGGGGATTTTTTCTGTTTGTTAGTATTTTATGTTTTTTTATTATTCTCATTTTACAGTTTTGTAGGTATAGAGCTTCCCCTTCTATCTCCTTCCCACCTCCCCCCGTACTGTGCCGTGTATTTTGCAACAATCTAGTCCTGCAGCTGTAGTTTGAGCTGCAGCATTCTGCTCTTTATGTGGGTCATGACATTGTAGGTGTAAGCAGTGGTAGAGTGCAGCCTTTGTTGTCTAGGTATATGTAACAGTTTTGGGGGGCTCACCTTTACTCAGGAGTAGAGATGCATACTGCCGACCTTTGATTCCGACCTTTGATTCCCGGTGCTCTGGCCTCTGTTACATCCTTCCTTTGTGAGATTGCAAGTGTACACTTACTTAACCTTTATATCTTTCTGTTTTGTATTTTGGCTGGAAGTTGTCCTGATTGAGGTTTATAAAAGAACACTGCCAGGCCTCCTAGCAGCTCTTCATGTCCAGCCATTGGCCTGTGGCCAGTCACCTGCCATCCGGTTGCGTTGATTTGTTCTCCGTGCGTGAAGCAGGTGACAGGCCAAGAATACACGATTGAATCCCTTGAGTTTGTTTCTGAAAACCGTTCACTCGTAGGATGAGTCCCAGAGATTGACTTGTTGAAGGCTGCAGCGAGAGGGAGGGAAGGGGACAGAGTGCGCCCTGCAGCTGCTGCACCCCTCAGTGGCCACAGGGGCTGGGCCTGGGCCGGGCAGAGGACAGAAGAGGAGCTGAGCCCAGGGCGCTGCCCTGCGTTAACAGGAGCTCAAGGACTTGGATCGGTGTCCATGCAAGATCACAATGTTGGTGGCTAACTTCCCACAGCAACGCGCTAGCCACTAAGTGACTTATTTAGAGGGGGAGAAAAATTTCTTTAGTTCTGTTTTGAATCTTTCCAAATCAGGCCAGTTGATTTCTTTAAAAATACTGCTTCTGTAGAGACGATGTTTATAAGGATACCCTTGAAGCAGTTCCTGAAGGAGATTTTCCAAGAGGGTATATTTTAGAAGAATTTTTAATAGCAAGGATTTAAGGAAAAAAAAAACCACCACCAAAAGGATTTCTTGGAAGCCAACTCTATTCTCCTTTTGTGTGTGTATGTAGAGAATGAGGCGCCTCCCGCCATCCACACACCTGCGGCTGAAGAAGCATTGTTAGACTTGTTAACTTCCTAAATAAAATATGGAAGCAAAAAACAATTTTAAAGTGCTTTTACATTCTTGAAAGTATGTCATTATATTAATTATTTTGTACTATTATTTGTTAATTTGCTTCTTTTTGTATTTCAGAAAAGATGTTGGTTTAAAGCGATTTTTCCCTAAGAGTTTACTGGATTCTGTCAAGGTAATTAGAATCTCTTGTGTCGTGATCCAATGCTGAACCTTTGCCAGTTCTCTCATGTGGTGGACTGCATGCGATGCCGTTGTGTCGTTTAGGTGAGAAGCCGGCAGTTAGTCATGTTGTGGCAAGTAGGCGTTGGTTGCACATGCTTCCCAGCCGGGGACAACAGTGACACAGGCACCGCGTCCTGCCACCTCAGCCATTATAGTCTCAGATGTTTTGACACAGAGAAAATGAATATTTAATTTATATTAAAAGCAGTCATGCTGGGTGAATCCTGTGTAGCATTGTGTGTGTGCGTGCTGCTAACGTGCTTAGAAGGCAGTGGAAGATGGCCCCAATGCTTGAGCTCCCGCTGACCGTGTGGTGACGCAGCTGGAGCCCTGCCTTCTGGCTGCAGCCTGGCCCTGCCTGCCCGTGGTGGCCGTTTGTCTCTTAATTGCTCTGCCTTTCAGATTGAGAAAGGTAAGTAGTGCATGGTGTAGAGGCTTCCAGAAGCAGAGCTGGCTCAGTGGCTGCAGCAGAGGAGGCGCTGCCCTCCCAGCGGGGCAGGCCGTGGGGCCGTGCTGGCTGAGAGCATCCACATCCCCGGGGACGTGCAGCCTGGGCAAGGCCCTGTGTGCCTGCGTGCGAGTGCGGCGAGTCCTGAGCGCAGCTGGGCCCCCCATTCACTCAGCTCTGGGATAACCTGAGGGGAGAGATCATAGAAGTGTTGGTGAAAGAAGGGGAGTCAGAGACATTCCGTCTGCCGGTTTTCTCTTCAGATGGCTGCCATGGCCAGCACAGGGCTGGGCCGAAGCAAGGAGCTGCCTCCAGGTTTCCCATAGGAGGCACAGGGGAATCGAATGCGTGGACCATGCTCTACTCTCTTCCCAGGCATCTAGCAGAGAGTTAGATGGGAAGTGGAGCAGCCAGGACGCGAACTAGTGCCTGTACAGGATGCTGGCACAGCAGACAGTGGCTTTACTTCCTGTGGTACAGCAGCAGCAACTCGGCAGCATTTGTTTCAAAAAGTATAAAGCATCCGACGAGTGCAGTGCACTGTGCATTGACTAGCAGAGAAGGAAAAAAGCACACTGTTCTCTAATGTTCCACGCCTTTTTTCTAGTGATGCTTCTGTATATTTAAATATTCTCTGACCCATAAGTGAAGTCCTGGCGCAGGCGTCTGAGGAAGCGGCTCTTACAGAGCACAGTTGCGTCCTGTGAGCAGACGGCCGGATGTACAGAATCGGGTAGAACTCTGTCCTCACCCACGGTGGCCGCAGACCGTTGGCGTGCACGTACTGCCTCAGGGCAGCAGTGTGCCAGAGGGCAAGCAGCTGTGCAGGTGGACACAGGCCGTGTGCAGCACACCCAGGATGAGGGGAGGAAGGGTTCTGTCCCTGGAGGATCTCGGGCGGTGACTGCACTCCTGGAGCTGTGACAGTGGGAGACTCGGTGTGACCTGTGCTGTCTGTCCATGGGGTGAGGAGAAAAGTCATGGCGACAGCCACCGACGTGGGCCTCGGTTCTCATACATCTGTGTCGGCATGGAAGAGTTCCCTGTGCAAGGTGCCGTGAAGGCCCAGTGCGCCTCAGTGCTGAGAGTGTGGTTCTCAAAAGCAGGCCTGGTGCTCTCAGAATCGTTGTCAGGTCTCCTTGAATTGTAAGTATTTAAACAATTAGCACAGGAAGAATGCAGTCCGAGGTATTTTCTAGGTTTTGAAAGGCTCTTCATCTTCAAAACAGGTGCCACACAGGCACTCCGAGGTTCTATCTATTGTGTGAGCATAGCCAAGACAGAGCAGATGTGCCTGAGCCCAGGCTGGGGCTGGCCCAGTCTTCTATGCTAGTTCTCCAGAAGCTTCAGCATCAGGGTTGTTTACTCTGCTGTTCACCCACCACTAATGCAAAAACAGTTCTTCGCTCTTAGAAACTTGGGGTGTCTTGACTGTACTCTCACGTGTCAATGATGTGCTTGTTTGCATTGTGTTTGACTGCACTGTGTTCTAAGATTTGTAAAAGTGAAGGTACTGTCATTTGCATTTTCCAGTCTGTGCCTTGTTTTGGACTTAGTACCTGGTACGTGGTACTCTCTGGCAGGTCTTAACTTGTAAGATGAATAACATCGGGGAGACTGGGTAGAGGGCACAGTGTGAAGAGGAGCATGGGAGTAAGACTGAGATGCTTCTGGAAGGCTGTACCTAGTGGGGAAAAGCAACAGGAGCTTGCTTTCCTGGGTGTCTGTTCTGCTGCTGTCTTCTGAAAAACATCCCCATAGCTCAGGCGCAGTCTAGCCAAGAGCTCTCTGCATGGCCTTGCTTGAGCTCGCCTTGTCTTCCATTGCATGCCACATGGTGCTGTGTGCGCCTGGCCGACAGTCCGGGTCAGAGCTCAGACTGCACAGGAGACCTGAGGACGTGTCGCTGTGGATAGCCTCTGCGTGTGGACCTGACTGCCGAGCTGAGAGCAGCTCCAGCGCTCTGGGCATTCACTGCAGGTCTTACAGCAGGGAGGAGGGCTCCTCACTTGGAGAGTTCAGAATAGAAATTTGAAGCTGTCTGGAGGGCCGATTAAAGGCACAGGAGCCAGAAGCCAGAGGAGCCAGGAGTGACAGAAGGGTCCAGGCCTGTGGTGATCCTGGCACAGGAGGGGGAGGGAGCAGAGGGTGAGAGCTCGGGGAAGGGCCGCCAAGCACTCCACCAGCATTGGTGCCCCACGGAAGGTCCTTGGCTCTGATTAGGGTGGAGCGGGGTTGGTTGATGACTAACAAATCCATTTGGTATCATGGAGTGGTTCTTCAAGCAGATTCTTAGAAGTGACTTCTTCCGAGTAAAAGGGAATTAGCTTCTTCCCTAGCTTTAGCTTCTTCCCTAGCTTTATCAGGATGGCCATCCCGCTGGTGGGTAAACAGTGCTGCTTGCCAAGGATACCCCCTGCAGCGTAACCACTCTGGTTGGAAAGAGGTGCTGTTCGCACAGACCCGTGCTTTGAAAATATTCCAGTAAAGCTTCAGCTAAAAAGAAATTCATGTCACTTCCTGTGTCTTCTGAAGTAACTGTGAATCACCTGTGTCAGTTCACATTTGCTTTTCCATTAAAAAAACAGGATGGCCATGCATTTGTTTTTCTAAAAGCTGTTTTGGCTTCCTTGTCATTTTCTTTTAGTTTTCTAGAACATTGTTAATGGGTAGTATTCATGTTGAACTACTGAAATCCTGCCTGCTGCTTGATGAAGCTCAAGTTAAGTGTGGTGAATGCCAAAACAAAATCTAAGCTGTCTGTACCTCGGCAAGCTCGTTTAACTTTCTGTCTCTGTTAGTGGTGAAAGAGACACATTTTTAAAAATCCCCATCCCATTGAAATAAGTCCAGACCAAATCTAAGGAATTCTGTATATTCTGTTCATTATTTGTCAGGAATGCCAAGGTCATGGGAGATGAGGGCAGAACCATAAGCCATCACTGTCCTGGAGACGGAGGCTGAGAGGCCGGCCAGATGACCAGGCAGCAGTGGCTAAAGCTGGGGACTAAGCTCCAGTTAGGTGACGAGAGTGACCCTGGGGGTGCCATGTGGGAGCTTGGATCAGACCCAGCGACCGTGTTATATCTTGGCAACTCCATTGTAAACCTGAAGTTTTCTGCAGTCCGGCATGATAGCATAGTGGTTAAGGTCCTCGACTTGCATGTGCCGGGATTCCATATGGATGCTGGTTCTAATCCCTGCAGCCCTGCTTCCCATCCAGCTTGTGGCCTGGGAAAGCAGTCAAGGATTACCCAAAGCTTTGGGACCCTTGCACCTGCGTGGTAGACTTGGAGGAAGTTTCTGGCTCCTGGCTTCAAATAGGCTCAGCTCCAGCTGTTGTGGCCGCTTGGGGAGTGAACCATCAGACGGGAGATCTTCCCCTCTGTCTCTCCTCCTATCTGTATATCTAACTTCACAATAAAAAAAAAAATCTTTAAGAAAAAGTTTTCTTACTAAGGAACCTACTGCTTTTTAAAGACTTATTTGCTGCCTTTCAAATCAGCCAATCAATCAAGGAGACAGAGGGAAAAACAGAACAGCAGTCTCTGCTGGTTCCTTCCTCCGATGGCCACAAGAGATGGGGCTGGGCCAGGCCAAGACCATGACCTCAGAACTGTTGGTTCTGCTGCATGTTCCTTCCTGTGTGCATTAGTAGCGAGCTGGATTGGAATTAACCTGGCACTGTGCTGTGGGACGCTGTTCTCATTCCTGCGATCAGTTGGTGGTGATTTCAGATTCAGTTGTGCTGTACACAGAAATGCATGACGTCACACAGATAAGGCATCCTCAGTCTGAGACTCAAGTGCTCCAAAATCCAGAACTTTCTGAGCACAAGTTTCCAGTTTTGGAAGATTTCAGATTTGAGACTTTCAGATAAAGGATGTCCGGCTGATGAAGTGCCTGGAATTAGAGTGGTTTAGGTAGGAATAGGCAGCCTACCTGCTTGTTGCCTGTGAAACCCCGATGCCTGCTGTGCTGGGATCTCAATGCGGATGCGCAGGAGAATGCGAGAAAACCTTGATTTTTGGTGTAGGTAGACCCTGGAGATAGGAGAACAAAGACCCCTCCCTCTTTGCTTCACTGCTGATACCTGTATTTGGGGTCATCATTATTGGCACAGTGGATTATACCACCACCTGTAATGCCAGCATTCCATGTCAGAATGGTGTGTGCCCAGCTTCCAGCTGCTCTACCTCCTATCCAGCTCCCTGCTAATTAGTGCCTGGGGTCCCTACATGCAGACAGGAGGCGCAGCTGCAACTTGCAGTGTTTGACTTCAGCGTGGCTCGTCTCGGCCGCTGCGGCCATTTGGCAGGTGATGGACCGCTGGCTGGGTGATGGCCATCCATCTATCTTTCCCCGTCCCTTCCTTCTCTTTGTCACTGTTTTAAATAAGTAAATATAAGTTTAAAAAAAAAAGCCTATAGTACTTGATGGCGTGGAGAAGGTATTCCTTAAAGCTGTGTCCCGAGCTTGTTTCCAGTCCTTTCCTCCGGCAG